TTTCCAATACACTTATATTTATTGATTTATTGTTCAGACAAGTATTTACAATTACAAGGTAAACATGAGCTCTAGAAATGCAGACAGTTTCAATTAAGGTCATCTTTGTTGAGCTACAGAAAGAATATAGTTGTGTGTAGTGTAGGGCAACAGTTATGAGCAACAAAACAGAGGCAAAGGGTCCATTTTACACTGAAACGTCTGATTCTTTATCAGAGTAAAGACAATTTGGGATCCTCAGGATGTTCCTTGGGGTCACGTGCACACTGAACCAGCTGAGATGAAGTGATAAATAAACCATAGAATTATCAGAGTACTACAGGACTACAACACATTGACAGACCTGGGACATAATGAGACCACAAACGCAGCTCAAAGTGGAGGTTGAGTGGAGTTGATTGAGATCCTCATTCTACCTGGTGGGTTTTGCATTTGTCACACTGAGGAATGGACAGATAAAACACACCAGAGCACTATTTATGATATTTAGCTCTTCCATATTGCACACAAGTAACTCAGTCCATCACACCATAGTACCCTGTGAGGGTGAGGTGTTCTGTCTCCTGACCCCAACCCATCACCAGGGACTTCACCAGTCAAAGGCAAAGGATATCAAAGGCACTGACAGGTGAGTTCTTGTCTCTTTCCCCAGCAAAAGGCAGCAAAATGTGAGGTTTTAAAACAATGCAGTGTTAGAGAGTAATGTTTGCTATGCCAGAACTTCATCAACATCAACCTCCCCTCAACAGTGCAGGTGAACAGATGTCCACCAGAGCTAGCAGTTTTCCAAGGATTCAGCCAAATCAGCCTCTGAACCACCAGCTGATCTCTACCCTGGGTACAGTGAAGGAAAGAGTGGTGCAAGCAGACCCGCACCACTCCACCTCCCAGTGCATTAGTGCTGGAAGTGATGCGTTGGGTGCATGTGTGCCTGCATGAGGTGAAAAGGCTTTGTTTGTAATGTTTTATGTCTTTATTTGTGTAGTTCCTATAGGTTTTTACTTCTACTATCTCATTTTCTGTTAATGCCACTGTTTCTGTTGTCATCTCTAATTTGATTCTTCATCTGTATGATTTTTTTCCAGTTAAGAATTTTTATTTTTGAGATGACAAAGTTTTATCATAAAGAAAGAAAAAAATGAATAAGAGTCATGGGTCAGGGAGTGACGTCATATTTACCAAAGGACAACAGTGCTGTAGTTTTCTGGAAGAAACACAATTATTAGAGTGAAAGCAGTTGAGAAGCACAATGGTTCAATACAGATGGATTAAGATGTTTTCATTAGCAATGTTTCACATAACAGGTAAGAGTGCTCATACGTGATATTAAAAAAACTGTAGTGTTCTTGTGGAAATGCGCCTAGTGCCATTTGACAGAATTGTGCTGACATTTCTGTCAAATGGCAATTTGACAATTAGAAAACCTGGCTGAACAGAAGAACATTGATATTGTGACTGTGAAGTGCTCTGTGCTGACATATGGAAGGTGTAGACATACAGTGACATGGATGAAAAATGGTCAAATCTGGGCTGTGAATAATACATCTGCAAAGATAACTCAGTCGACCTGCTCAGCCACTGCAACCTTTCTGACTTATCATGAAGTTTATATATCAAATTATGAGTTTTTAAGTTGCAGCGTGACCGAAATCAGCGGCAAAGAGCACTTGTTTAGTTTCTATCCTCTGTTGCCAAGTAAGAGTAAGAAAACAGGTAAGAATAACCATTTAAAATCATCTAAATGACATTTTTGAAGAAATGTACTGTTTTTCTATTTTGATATTTACTTTTTCCTAAACTGATTTTTGTTCGTGTATTCATGTGACTCCTTTATATGCAATGTTTTATGTTGCTTGTATCTATGTAAGTGGAAGTAGCTTCAAACTGATATTAATAAGTAGCTCTTACTATCATTGCAATACAGGATTAGCCAATATTCATTATTAAGGAAAAAGCTGCAGATCAATAAAACAGTAATTTGAATGTGGAGTTGTAACCTGTGCTGCCTCTTTTTCCCCCTCTTATGTTAATTTGTTTTAAACAGAACATAAATCAGCAAACAGATTTCTCTTGTTTGTGTTATATCGTTTGCATGAACTGAAGAAGCATCTTAGATGAGAGTTGAAACATCTTTAAGAAATTTTACATCCAGTCGCTTTATTTCCAAGCTCCTTAGACTCTTGTTTACATTCTTTACCAGACTGGTGGATGTTTATCATTGTGGCTGTGGGTTTAGCACTCCTAATAGCTGTTGTGGTCATCATCATCATATACAAAAGAGGTAAGTGTCAGAATATTACCAAGCAGGATGGATTAACTTGAATTTTTTTTGTGGAAGCAAAAGTTGAGTCCTTGTCTTGTCTTGTCAGGGAAACCAGCAAAAATGGATACAAACATTGTGAGTTTTTAAAATAGACTTATTAAATATTTATTACATTCTTTCTTTGTGGACCAAGTGCATGCTAACTTGACCTTTAATGCACTTATTTTCTAAAGTGACTTGGACAAGGTTGTCTACAAAATGAATAATAATAATAATAATAACAATAAACTGTAATGACAAATATACCTTTATAATCTCATTTTGTTGGGTAATAATCACTAAAAGCAGAGTAATGGATGGCCAAAGATCACAAATTTAGACTTGTCAGATGGTATTGATGTGTGAGAATGCCATTTTGTTTTTTAAAGGTGTGTAATAATGAAAACAATGGAGCAGTAAACTGTGAAAATGTCTGCTCTTCTGATGGATTTTGACTGACCGTGCTGCTTCTGTCAGACCCACTGACCAAAAACATCAATGTCAACATCAACTCTTGTTTTATAGTTGGACAACCATGTTAAGGTTCATTTTATCTCTTAGTTAGAACACCTCTGTGCAAATTATTTTTTGTTCAATTGTTAAAACCTATGTGTTCTTGTTATGGACAATTTTAGTTGACTCCAATGTTGAGGTCTGAAAGGGGTGATAGTGCTTTTTTGGAGCACCTGACCATCTCCTCTTCAGCAATTTCTTTTTTGCCTCTGTGGAGCTTTCATTGACACCGTGATTTCTGCATTCATGGACAAAGATAAACTTCAGAATGGGACTGGTAACACTGGCTATAACTCATGCTAGTTTGTCTTTATATCAACTATATCAGTAATAAATGTATCTGTTTTATGCTTTACATCTGTTCCTTTGCATCTCGTATTTGTTGATGAGCTTATTGGGCTTTGAATATTAGTGTACACACATAATGTAATGTGCAAATAAAGAAATAAACAGTGTTGAATAGTCTCATCAGGATGTTTTCAGAAAGAAAACTTTCAGGGATCACTAAACAGGCAACACTCAAATGCAGGACTCGATCATAGAAGTTCAGGCCATTTATTTACATTAAATTAGAGTTCAAATAGAAGATCAACACTAGAGAAGTTCTTGGTTTCTACAAGTTAGTGTTTTCCACAAGTTCACACAGATTCTTTTCTAAGAATACAAACCAGCCCACTGCTCTCCAGCAAGAGTTTCTCCAGCAGAGAGAAGAGCAGAGCAATCCAGCAAAGATGGAACAACTCCCTTTTTAATAAAAATAGCAGTGGAACATAAAATGAGGACGTGACTAAGGAAGTGAAATGTTGGATTTTTTTAAGTAGAAGCACTATTTTAGTCTTACTGACCGTAAGACTGATCGTAGCCTGAGGACTAATTTCTGGGGGGATGCATTTGCCTATGGCCCAGTGGCTGACAGCGTGGACAACAACTTGCTCCTGAACACTGTAAAGACCAAGGAACTTGTTGTGGACTTCAGGAAGAAGGCAGAAAGAAAAGAAAAAGAAAGAAGAAAGAAAGAAAGAAAAAAAGAAACTACTTTCTGAGGGTTCTCAGAAAGAATAACATCCCTGAGAAACTGTTGGTGTCCTCTTATCGCTGCAAAGTATCCTGTGCTACTTTCTCTGTGCATGATTTTGCACAGTAGCACAGAAGAGCGAGCCCAATAGGGTTATAAAGGTCACCAGGCACAGCGGTCCCCAACCCCTGGGCCACGGACCGGCCCCGGTCCGTGAGTCATTTGGTACCTGGCCGCGAGAGTTGAGACTCAGGTGTGAAGTTTATGGTTTTCAGGGTTTTTATCAGTTTTATCATTATTTTTTTCTTATCATTTTTATCGTTAACTGGGTTTCCCTGGGTCTTTCCCCGTGTGTTATGAATAAATCTTCTTTTTTTTTGGTACCGGTAATGGTTTTATTTTGTTGACACCTTAAAGGCCAGTCCGTGAAAATATTGTCGGACATAAACCGGTCCGTGGCACAAAAAAGGTTGGGGACCACTAGCAGATAGTCAGCTGTCCTCTCCCCTCACTTGAAAAATTGCACAGCTCCTATTGTCTCAAGAACATTCGAATCCTTCAAGACCCAGCTCACCCTGGTCATGTACTGTTTGAATGACTACCTGAAACTAACAGACTAAGCAACAGATTTTATCCCCAAGCAAGCCATCACCATGCTGAACACTACGAAATTAGGCAATCAGATCCAATACAGCTTTCATGTACAATGTAACATTATTACAACACAATCTCAGGTTTACACATTTGATGCTACGGTTACCACTGGTCTTTACATCAGCACCAGCAAACAAGGTAAATCATTGAGAGCACAGTCTTGATCACTGTCATCAGCATGGATTCTGTTGTTTAATAAACACTGAAGCAATATGAGTTTGCACAAGACAGAATGTCACACTGCACAATGTAATGTCATTGCTGGTACAAGTACATATTTCTATATATGGCAGTGGACAGGAAGTGTGCTGTGGCTTCAGTGGAGATAAACCTCTACAGCACATATTTTAATATCCTGAAGATTTACTCTAATTTACCTCCATTAAAGTAAGTAAGACTGCTGTCTCAGTTTGGTTAAAGAAGGATGTATGTTCATTTTTTCTTTCATATCTACATGTTTGTAAAAACGAAGGGAATTCATATGACCTACCAACATTAAAAATAACCACAGCGTGAATGAGGAGGAGACAGGAAGTAAAGAAGATAGACATTTGTCTTTGACAAGTACAACAGAGTTTGCAAGTTGCAGTTGTGACAAGCTGAGAAGGAAAACCAGAACAAAAGGCGATGATTGATCACAAATTATTCAGCATTTCTCTGTTTTTGTTGCTTCTTTATTCAGGTAAGGTAACCTTTACAAATACTCTAAAACCTAATTTTTACTTAATATCAACAACAAATTTTAAAAATACATTTTCAAATCTGAAAATAAACTAAGACACTGCATATTAGAGTAAAGACTTTATTTTAGTCCAGTCTCATTATTTATATTTCTTTACTTTTTAAATCAACAGTAATTGCACAAAATTATGCGATTTATGCGAAATATGAGAATTGTTTAGCTAAACCACCCTAAAAAATTTCTATTTCATGTGTTAAACCACAAAAAGCATATAAAGTGCTTTGAGAACTAGCCCATTTACCATTTGATATAATATATTTTTGGCCACTGTGACACATGGGACACTGTTTTCCCTACTCAGCATTTCTACTTCAAACCAGGCTCACAGTGCATTATGCATAATACAACTGTAGGAAAGGAAGATCTACATGTACCTACAGGTATTAAAATGTTGGGGGGTGGGGTGTGGGGTGGGGGTGTTGTGCTTCTGTTTAAAGGTAAAGATACATTTAACATGTAAGAAATTTTTTTCCAACTTCTTTTCAGATTTACTTTATTCTGAAATCTTTATGTAGACAGCTGTGCTTTTGTTAGAGCGAGTTTGGTGCACACATTTTTTTCTGTGCACAAGAATGTAAATTATCTGCATTTGCACAAGTAATGGTAATATTTTTGTTTCTCTTTCATGTTCTCAGGAGCACTTAGTGAAGATCTTTCGCTTGCCTTCACTGTCAGAGATGGAGATAAAGTCACTTTGCCTTGTAAAAATCGGATCAACATTCATCACAACTGTCACACTACCACCTGGATCTTCAGAGATTCAAGAGGCACACCAGCAGTAGAGCTGGTTAATCATGGACAAATCAAAGAAGAAGCCAAATCAGACAGACTGAGTGTTACAGCAGAATGCTCACTGGTTATAAAAAAGGTCACAGCTGAGGATGTTGGTCGTTACACCTGCAGACAGTTTAGAGGCAATCCAGGGAGACAGCAAGGTCCAGATGCTGTGGTTTATCTGTCTGTTGTCGTCAGTAAGTATTTACATCACAATATATTTTAGTTCAAGTGGTGTCATTGGAACAGCATATTTTCATTACATTTAAGAAATATATATGTGTTCTTGCTTTGTTTTTCTCTTGCAATTCATCTTCACCAGTGACCGAAAAGAAGAACGCTGATAAAGTAACTTTAAGCTGCTCTGTGTTGACATTTGATCGGTGTAAACACAAAGTGAAGTGGATCCATAACAGAAGAGATCTGGATAGAGATTACTCAAATTTAAAAACATCACAGTCTTCCTGCTCTGCTACAGTGACTTTTCTGAACCTTACATATGGTCACATATCAAATTCTGACTTTAAGTGTAGCTTAAAAAGTACAGAAAATAACAAAGAGCAGCTTTTTACCTTCAGCCATCATTCATCAGGTAAGAAACCAGGAGAGGTTCTGAAGAGCTTATTAAATGAATTCACATTATTTTGTCTAAGTACCTAAGGTATTATCATATTTTATTAATCTGAAGATTTAATCGACTGAATGTACAGAAAGTTTTCTAATGAAAGGGCCACTGAATTTAGTTTTTTGTTCAGGTGAAGAAACAAATACAGCAACAACTGTTAAATTAGACACAATGACTACAATAAAAGTGCTGGAAATGGATGGTTCAACAAATTTACCAGGTAATGTCAACAATATTTTGTATCAAGTCTTTTTCTTTCTGAATTTTAGAAGAAAATGTTAGTTGTTGTTAGTGAATGAGCAAAGTTTAATCAAAAGTCATTCAGACTGGTGTTAGTAATGACTTCATTTATGGGTTTTAATTTACAATATTACATATACAAAGCAAACTCTTACAGCTTCCTATTGAGTAGTTGCCAGAGTTTTGTTTCTTTGTTCAGATGAAGATACATAAACAAATCATTTAACTGTTATAGAACATACAGAATGAAAGATCCTCTCAATTTTATTCTTTTGTTTTTGGTGAAGAAATATATGCAGCAGCAACAATTAAATTGGAAATAATGACTGAATCTGGCATTAAAGGAGGTCTGACAACAAAACAGCTGGAAATCATGAATGGTTTGAGAAAATTACCAGGTAATGGCAACAATATCGCTTTCTTTCTACAGACTTCGGTAAATATTAAAGGCATGCACTGATATTTCAGATCATGTACTTAAGCATACATTTAAAATATACTTTTCATGTCTTCACTCTCTTCCCAGACTGGTCCTGGTACAGGCTTGCCATTGTGGCTCTGGGTTTAGTAGCACTTATAGCAGCTGTTGTTGTCGTCGGCATCTGGATAAGAGCTGGTGGGATTTATTCACATATAAACAGAAAGGTTGATAAACCTGGATTCTGTTTGTGAAAGTTAAAGTTGACTCCTTATTTTCTATTTTTTAGGGAAAAAAGCACAGATGGATGAAAACATGGTGAGTTTATTAATCAGAATGAAACAGATAATTTTTGATTTTTTCCTTCATTTGAGCCACGAGAACAACAAAACAGCACGACACATTAGGACAAGACAGATAATAAATAGAAAATTAAGCTGGAATGTCTGCAATCAAACAACCTTTCCCAATAACACAAACATGACGGATTATACAGAAATTTTAGAGCTCACAGTTCTCCTCATGAAGAGGCGGCACTCATCAGGATCAAAACACTGATTCATGGCAAATCTGATAAAAGCTCACATAAGGATCAATGAATATCCATATCTATGCCATATATATATAAATACATATTTGCCTGTTTGTTTCAGGAACAGAATTTAAACTCTGCAGTAACTTCGTCTGGTCCAGGAACTATTCAGGAATCTGTGAGATCACACAGTTACTCACCACATGTATTGGTTCGCTTATATGTTGAATCTGCATTTTATACATTACTGAGCAGTCTTTATGTTGTCTTCACTGTGCAGGCTGATCTTCAAGATGTTGTTCTCTACGCCTCCCTCAGCTACACTGAGACCACCTACAGCTGTCCAGGTCTTCAGGTAATTTGATTGTTAAGGTTGCGGGATTTCTCCTCCTACTGATCCCTGTCGGTAGTTACTGCTTACCCATTGGTTTTAGGGCACATGGCTGGAAGATCTGGCGTAGTTATTGACCTGTCTCCTGGGGTATCCTCTGGTGCAACACGTTCTCACTCTTTAAGCAGAGGAACCCTGGCCAAGCATCCATATATAGTAAGGAGTAAGAACCTTGTGGCAGGGCGTGGTCTGCAGTGCCGCTGCAGGGGTGGTGGATGCACCTGAGCGGCAAGACACCTCGCCAATTTAAAGTGTGGGCTAACTCCTGTCGTGGTTGTTGGTGTGTCAGGCTGTGCGCAAAGAAGCTGCAGCTAAGGGTTTGTACAGCAACCAATGAATAAAGATAATGCAAAGCATGTTCATGTAGTGGGGTCTGCTCTGGTTACATTCCTAGACGGCCGGCCTCTGGCTCAAAACTTTTCAGTGAAGTGAAAATATTGAACATGGACATTTTTGTGTTTTTCTGAAATAGTTATGTTATGGTGTGCAAGAGGAAATTATTTATGTTTGATTTAAAGAAAAACCCTTGGGAAATTTTGACAAAAATTTTACATTTCATTGAGAGGCTAGTAATTTTGTCCTCATCTGTTCATATGTAAAAACAAAAAATATTAAAATAAAAAGAAATTGGCTCACAAGAGGAGCCGTAGAGAGTAGAATTCTTCTTGGTAAAGTAAATGTGTTTGTAACAAAAAAAAGTTTGTTAAAGCTCCCAGACAGGGCAGGTTAGGAAACAAAAAGGAAAAAAAGAAAAAAGTTGTGTATTCTTTTTCAGGTTCCCCATAAAGACGATGAAGAGGGTGAAGCTTTGACCTACATTATATGTCCAGTCTCTTCTCCTGGACCCGCTCCCAACAACCTCTATGCTAGCATCAACAAACCAAAAAACTAAAAAACAGGAAAAAACGCAGAATCTCTTTTTCTTTGATAACTTCTTTCTTTCCATTCTTGTGTAATGAAAGAGGATTTCTGTTTTGCTAAAGTTCCCAGGATTTAACAACAGTGATAATATAATCTGTATTTAAATTTTTCATTTCTAACACAGAATGTTGCACTATATTTTTTCATAGATTGTTTATTGCTTTATCAGTCTACATATATGTGTTTGTATATCTGCAGTTTAGGCCTGATTTAAATGATGATATTAAAAAGTGTTTTTCCATTATGTAAAATCCCAAGCAGCCAATAAAGGCTCCAGCACGTGAGTTTTATTGTCACGGTACTGGGTCTCTGACCCAGTGTTTTTGTTGGTTTTAGTTATGTTCTTTGTTTATTGTATTTCATGTAAAGGGTTCCTGTTACTTTGCCTTCCCTGTGTCCCATGTCTAGTTACCCTCGTTATCCCTCAGTGTATTTAAGCCCTGTGTTTTCCTTGTTCTATGCGGTGTTGTACGTTGTGTGTTTACCTGTGTGCACCTCTCTGTGTGCTTAGTTTATTTTTCCAGTGTAGTTTTGTATTGTTTCTCCCAGCCAGCAAATAAAGCTGTGGTTTTTTGAGTTTGCTCTTTGCCTCTGTGAGTCTGCATTTGGGTCTTCTCCTAGCACACAGCTGGTTCATGACACTTATTGTTGTATTTTGTTTATTTATTTTTTTGGTATATATATACATATATATTATGTATATGTATATATGCAAATTCATTGCCTCAAGCAAGTAAGCAATGTTTGCTTAAGATAACTACATTAGGACAACTTATTCATTCATGAATCACATTTTTGTCATATTTTATATTTGTATTTTGAAAACAGTAGCAATGTCAGCTACCATTTCACACACTTCACATGGGATTTTGTTGGTTGAAGGACCCTAATAGACTCTAGAATTGTCACCATAAGCGCTGCCTGTCTGTTTCGTATGAGCATAACAGTTCAGGCTCAGCTGTGTTGCATGTGTGTCAAGAAAGAAGCAAGCATGAAGAAAAAGGAAGTGTACCTAATAAAAGAAGGAGGAAAGGAACAAGGTTTATCTGGCAAAAATTAATACATTGGGGGGAAAAAATTAGCAGAAAAAAACTTGTATTGTAAGATTTCATTTTACTTTATTTTTCTGATTCTAAATGTTTGGTATTGACATCCAAACCATTATAAAGGCCAAAATATAAACTCCGTAAACAGAGGAGTAGATTAAATAATAAGTGTAAGTAAAAGCAATAATAATCTGCCATTAAATGTTTTTATTTTCCATAGTTTGTTCCAATAACGGTATAAATTTGTTTTTCCTTTTTTCCACAGTGATTAATTTGCCTTGTTGCCATTTTTATTGACTTCAGCAACATTGTGCAGGGGAATTAGAGCATTCATTTGCTGTTGCTATAACTGAAGCTAGCCTTAAAGGCAACTGATGACGGGCTTTCTGTCTCCCATTCAGTTATCCACTCATCTCTCTTAAAGTAGAACAATCTTGACTCAGGGTAAAGAAAGAAAGAAGAGATGATCATTTTCTCCTCTTCACTGTGTGTAAGCGGCAATACATGAAAAACCAACCCACCATACAAGAATGTTAACGGGCCATTTTTAGATTATTATAATTTAAAAAAAAACCATTATAAGCAAAGGCCCAAAGCCTAACAACACAACCACTAAAAAATTTTTACTTTTGTACCACCAGATTTTCATTTACTTGCATTTAAAAGTGTGTTCCTCTTCCGCATTAACTCCCGCTTCGTCCGCAATTGTTATGAGAAAAACTCTCTTGTATGACTCGTAATGAATCTTGGGATTCCTGTTCTGTTTTGTACTGCTTTTAATTCCTAAAAATAAATTTTACCTGCTCTGTTATGTTAACTGTCTTGATTAAAAAATATTTATATATTTAAAAGCATATAAATTAACAAAAAAATTAAAGAGTGTTTGAGAACGTTTATCCAGCCATGATTTCAAAGCATATAGCCCAAATTTAAAATTTTAGCAGTGAAGATGTTTAATCTGCAGTGAAAGTAATATAATAAAAGCCACATGTTGTACCAGCTGTTCCAGTGAAAGTTTTGTCCCATTAGCCCATTATACCTTTTAAGTTACATTTCATCAAACAGTCCTGAGAATCCACACAAATGATCTTTTTATATATTACAGTCCAAAGTGAATGCAGATGGTCTCCTGCAGCTTTAAAATATCTAAAGGACACTGAGTGTGGAAACGATCTGTGTTTCTTTTTTTGGTCATCATTAAGTGCTAAAAATTCTGCTGCTGATGTACTCACATTCCTACCAAAATACTTCCTTTTTTCTTCTCAGAGGAAAAACTATTTCAGAAATGCAATGAGGAACCAACATGTGTTAGAGCAAGAAAGAAAACATCTTATCTGTTACAGCTTGGACATCAACAGCAGATAGTTGTCCTCTTCACCTGGCCCTCTCTATCAGCATAACATTAGCATAAATCACAGGAAGTGGACACAGCATCTCTACAAGAAGGACTATTTCAGAGATTAATTTTTAATGTGAGAAACAGGAAGGAGAAAGACGGAGAATGGCTGAATTCAGGTGGATTCAAATGTTTTCATCAGTGATACTAATGCTTCAATTGTCAGGTAAGAATATTTAAACGTTTATAAATTAGATTACAAAAACTTAGTATGTTGACATTATTGATTTTATTATTTTCTTTACAGCAGCAGCTGACTACTCTGAGTTTATTATCAGGAATGAGGGTGAGGTCACTTTGTCATGTGAAAATGTGACAGATGATCAAGATAAATGTGACAGAACTACCTGGCTCTTTAGTCAATCAAATAGAGCCGTAGTAACACTGTTTGAACACGGGAAGATTCACCAAGGGGCCGAAAATAAATCAGACAGACTGAGTGTTACAGCAAAATGTTCTCTGGTTATAAAGAAGCTCACAGCTGAGGATGTTGGTCAGTACACCTGCAGAAGGTTCAACAAATCAGGACAAAAAGAAGGTTCAGACTCTGTAGCTGAGCTGTCTGTTGTTAACCGTGAGTATTTCCATCATAATGTTTTCAGATTATTAGAACATCAAACTGAAACATTACAATAACTATAACTATAGTATAGTATACTGTAAATGTTATTCTTGTTCTCTCTTTTTTTAACAGTAACTGAATATAAGGATAACGACACAGTGACATTGAAGTGCTCTGTGTCCACATATAAAGAATGCAAATACACTGTCAAGTGGCTCTATGGTAACAAAGACCTGAGGATGTCACAGTCTACCTGCAGTGTGACCTTTGCAACATCTGATCATATTTACACATCCGAGAACTCTGAGATGTTGAAGTGCCAAGTGACACATGGTGGAAACGTGCAGGAGTTTATCTTCAGTCAATCTTCTGGTCAGAGAAGGGATACGTAAACATTTCAGTCCTTACAATAACTTCATCCTGTTATAAACAAAGAAAGAATTTTTTGGGGGATATGATCATAGAAAAAGTGCTTGTATGATTGGGTGAATAAGGCGAGTTGTATAAAGCGCTTTGAAGTCAGGTAAAGTAGAAAAGCACTGCAAAAGAAGCACAATTTAACAGACTTCAGAAGCCTGCTCCTACCAACAGTCAGCGTTGGATTCTTATACACGATACACTTACTTCACTTCAGCAAGTTCCCAAAAATAAGCTGTAAAAGAAAACATCCTGTGGAGATGTATTAATGGAAATAAGGAAAAGGGGAAGTCAGCTTAATGAGCCTGCTGTTCGTTTTCTGTTCCCGTTTAAAAAAGCTTATTTTTTAAAAAAAAAACATTTCTCTCAGTGAAATAACATTATAACCAGGACAATATTTCTTTGTTGGTTATTTTAAGCAAATACAATTATCTTAACCGAGTAATTTAATACAACCTAAAAACCAAATTAAAACACATTTGATTTTTATACATCAGGATTTTAAAAAGACAAGAACCTGCAGACATAATGTGTCTAATGTTTTTCTTTTTCTTCAGGTGTGTGGAAGTTTATTGTTGTAGCGCTGGGGTTAACAGTACTCATAATGAGTGCTTTCATAAGCATCATATGGAAGAGAGTTAAAGGTGAGAGCTTTCACAAGACTGAGCTTTCATCACCAGGGAGACTGCAGAAACCAGGATGGACTTTCATTCTAAAAGTTTGAATTGATTTTTCTCTTTTTTAGGACACAAATCACAGATGAATGAAAATGCTGTGAGTTATAACACTTTCATGTTATATACGAGTAATGAGTCTTTCTCACTGATGTGATTATAGTCTGCTGTGTTTACGAGGCTTCTTTGTCTGTTTTATTTGTTTCAGGAACTCAGTTTAAACCCTGCAGTGACTCTGTCTGCTCCAGGAACCATTCAGGACTCTGTGAGCTCAAATACTTACTCACCACTTGTATTTGTTCTCCCATATGTTGAATCTAAGCATTACTGAGCAGTCTCTATGTTGTCGTATCTGTGCAGGCTGAATCTGAATACGCTGTTCCCTATTCCTCCATCAGCTACACCAACAACACCACCAGTAAAGCTCAGGTAAGCTGTCCTATTGGTTATTCAGGTGATGTCAGTTAATAACAATAAAAATTCCCATGAAAGAGCAAGGTAAATGTTGATATCTGAGTGTTAAGAATAAATATTAAGATTATAATACTATTATCATATCTGCCTTACCCTACATTATTATGACCTTAATTATTTTGTTTTTTGTGTATTCACTTTCAGGTTGTGGGTCAAGATGATGATGAAGATGATGACACAGTGACCTACATCACCATGAAAAGTCACATCACTTCTGCTGTACCCTCCAGTGATCCCAGCAGCCTCTATGCTGCCGTCAGCAAACCAGTGAGAGACACGTGTTGACGAAACAGCTACAGCTCATATAAGCTTTCTTACGTTACACTGGTTATGGTTGCGCTCAGGCCCTTTTCAACCTGTTATTTGTATCAGATTGTGTAAAAATGTTTCTGTTAGGCTTAAGTTCTCCATGTTTAACATAAAGGATATTATACTGCTCATTTACATTTCTA